ACGTTTCTGTACGCCGGAATAGCTAGAACAAGCCTTAACAGAGCACCTTGGCTTTCGCGTTGTGCCGCCAGAAGGCAACCCCGCCGCGAACGGGTTTGCGTGAGTTTTGTGCTGGAGAGATCAATGTGATCGTAGCGCGATCAGGGGAGTGTGGAGAGTACATAGTCCCGTTGGCATTGCATTTTCAATTGTGAAGGTCAGGAGATTTCAGCATGCCCAATCGTGGCCACTTAGTATGTTTGGCTCATCAAATGTTTATTGTCCGTTCAATTCGCTTTCGATGCCATAACCAAAGTTTTAAGCCAAGTGTTGTTACCAGATATACCAGATATCAACTGTTTAAATTTTGAGATCTTCTTAAGCTTGCGCTCCAGCTATAAGAGTTGCCTCATTTATATCCGCAGTACTGCTGGCGGCATTCATCGACCCGAGCAACCCAACATGAAAAAGATTGCACATGGCGTTCCTGTTCAATAATGGACCAGGCCATGCCGGGAGGCAATGCTCGTTTTTTTTGTTTTATTATGCCCCAAAGCAATAGAGTGGCCGAAACTGGGTGGTGAAGGTAGAGTTCCTCGGTTCGCACTATGCAGCGTCCGATCGCTCCTAGTAGCGATGCCCTTTGCTCCTAGTAGCGTCCTTGCTCCTAGTAGCGATGCCAGGAGCGCCTTGAAACCATCTCTCAAACTTTGCTGGAATGGGTGGTGTCACGAGTTGAGCTGGCCTGACATGTGTCGACACATTGCCAAAACCTCTAAAGGATCCTGGAACGTGTGGCCGAAAGTGGGGAACTCCAATGCGACTTTGCTGAGTCATTCTTTGCCTGGTTTGAAACATATCGATAGCGTAGCTTCTGCCCTTTTCAACCTTTTGAAGTTGCTGGAACCCTTGCTGCAGCGTTGCTAGGACTTTAATTGAAACGAAACCTTGTGGCAACTCCCGGGTTTCTAAAGAACCTTGGTGAAGCCTGGTGTAGAAAATTTGGCTAATCTTTTTCGTTCCTGAATCGAGTTTTGTTGAAATTGGAACTTTGATGCAACTGTGCTGAGAGTTGTTGTGGGACCATTCTGAAACTTTACTGTTCTTTCTGGCGTTGGTTTATGTCCAAATTTCAATTTGGTTGTTTTGTGCGAGGCCATTAAACATCTATAGCAAACACAACAACGATGTTCAATCTTTGCCCAAGGTGTTTTCTGCTCAATGTGGTTTGCTCCAGGACAACCAAGATGAGTATATCTGCAGACATCCTGGTGTACAATGCGGCCATCACTGCATGTGAGAAGAGCTTTCAATGGAAAGCAGCTCTGGAGCTTCTGATGGAAACATCAACAGTCGTGGGAGAGGCTGTTAGTAAACTATCCCAAAGGCCACTTCGTTCAGAAGCAAACATTGCAGATGTAGCCTGGAGGGCGGCGAAACTCGAGCGGCTCTCGCCAAGAGACACACTAGAAGAAGCATCTTTGACAACCGCCTTGAGAATGCTTAAAAGATCAGAGGATTCAGCTTTGAATGACAATGTTGCAGATTTTTCTGCGAATGTTCATTCAACGGCAGAGCTTTGCACTATGCTTTGGTCTGCAGCATCAGTGTCCGTCCATGACATGTCCATCATTCAGGCAAGCTTGGTCAAAAACATATCATGATTTCAGAGCATGCCCTACTTCGTTATCTTCATTTTACAATATCTTCACCATTCTTTTCCCTTGCTACTCCATGCGGGTGCAAGTCAAGAACAAGGTAAACCTCGAGCAACGGGGTAGATTGTGTTTACCACGGTGTAGATGTTTCGGTTTACTACTGTTAGCAAATCACGGTACTTTCCAATTGATCTAGGGGTCCGCCGGTGGGCTGTTTTCGGGTCTCGTCCGGTCTCCGGTCGTGATGATGTTGTGCTGTGTTCCTGGTAGCTACTTGCTCCTAGTAGCGATGCCAGGAGCCCCTAGTAGCGTCCTTGCTCCTAGTAGCGATGCCAGGAGCCCCTAATAGCTTCTTGTTACTAGTAGCGTCCTTGTTTGGCCATATCCTAATACTCGATTATACTCGCATGTATTGTTGTTGTTGGTGTTTCGTCAATGCGCGTGTTGGTCATCCGGTCATGCTAGGTGCGGAGACCGACAAATCCAAAGAGCAGAAAATGCGCATTCTGTCTTTTTTGCTATTGGGGTCAACGGCTAGGTTAACTTCTTAGCAGGATATTGCCAAACGCGGCATCCTTTTGACTAAAGTACTCGGGCCATAGAAGTTTTGTGTCACTTTGCTGCTTCCTCACAATTTTCCTTTGTCAACAGTCCAATGTGTCCAACATCATCGTGTGCTGAGGTGATTGTTGAAGTGCTTGAGCATCGTCTGAATGACATCGAAGTTAAGCTGCTCGCAGAGCGGAATCTAGCCAACTTGGTGACTTGGGCAACGTCCAAACATTTCTTGAGCCAAGTTCACGTTTGTTTGAGACGCTACTAGGAGCAAAGGGCATCGCCACTAGGAGCAAGGACGCTACTAGGGGCTCCTGGCCTTACTACTAGGAGCAAGAAGCTACTAGGAGCTTTCTCGACAGAAAATACATCTGAACTTCGTGGGTTTTGTTTCGTTTCAGACATTGCAACTCATGGAGTTCACAATTCGGAACCGAGTGAGGCCTGGGCCCTGGCCACACTCAATGTCGGGAGTCCAGCGTTGTTTCAGCTCTTGAAAGGACGGTTTCGGCAACAGTAGCAGGTTTCTTTAATGGCCTCCAACGTAATAGCACAAGGAACCTAATAGCAATGGCCTCCAACCTAGAATCGATGGCCTCCACCCACTAGCGACAGAATAAGCAGGTTGCTTTCATGGCAACCAAACACTCTGAGAAACCCAGCTTCGGTTGCCGTGTCTTTTTTTGCCGGCTTTACTGGCTCGTACCTCGTACAGATTCTGTCTCGTTTTTGTTTTCCACAGGAGAGGCAGTGACTCGAGTCCTTGCAGTCCAACACGCTTCTCGGCCACTGCAGATAAGTGCTGCTTCAGCCTTATTGGAGGTGTCCAGGACTCAGTTGCAAGTCAAAGTCAGCAAGAAATTTGCTTGGGTGACTCAGTGACTCAGTTGGGTTTAGCTTGAAGCTCTCGAGGCTTTGGGCCTGCAACTTGGCTGGCATGAGGTGTAATGCAACTTTGCCGCATCGTGCCTTGAGCTACATTGGACAGAAGATGGATGCCAAACAGCGTGGGCCGCCTGATCCTGCTGAGTCTCAACCAGCTGTGTCCGACGTTGAATCTCCAAGTGCCTGGTCAAAAACCCAACACAGTTTGTAGAGACACGATTGAGCAGTCAAAACTTCCCGAAAAGGTAAATGCAGTCGCGAAAGATTTCGTGCACTTTTCATGCGCGAAAGCTTGCGACATCCAGCAAAGCTAGCGAAAGTGTTTTTTTGCACAGAATGTCGCGAGTGAAAGCCAAAACGCAAGCCAGGCAAGTGTGCGAAAAAAGAGCCCATGAGAACCAATTCTCGATAGGTTTTGAACAACGCTAAGTTTTATTTGTGCGGCTCGTTTCTTTGCCTTTTCTTTGCAATTGGTCACTTCGGTCTGAGGAATCGTGTTGGACTTGGGAGACATGTTGGTGGTTCAGAAGCCAGCTGGTTGGCAGGTTGGGAAAGTTTCAGAGACAGGACGCAATCGAACTCAATACATTAGGGACACAGTTCGCTGCTGGGCAGGTTGATGATTCTGCTTCAAGCCAAGCCAAGCCGCTTTCAATGTTTTTGCAATCCGCTTTGCTGCGTCAGCGTCGTACAATATTGGAAGACACGTGTCTCGGCCAAGATGAACTTTGCTCACACGACACGTGTCTCAGTCTCACGGATTTGATGAAAAAAGAAAAAGAAAAGGTCAAGAGCCCCTAGATAGTGGAAAAGACCATCAAATAAAGGATGCAAGGAAGTATGACAGAAACCATGTGAACCAGGACTCACCAACGTGGATTCTTGCACCGACTCGATGTACCAAGCTCTGGGCTTTTGCTCGTGGCAACAAGTTACCAAGCTCCTTGCCTCGACTTGAAAGCTCCAAGTCCTTGCTCCTAGTAGCGATGCCCTTTGCTCCTAGTAGCGTCCTTGTTCCTAGTAGTAAGGCCAGGAGCCCCTAATAGCGTCCTTGTTCCTAGTTAATGGTATTAGTTTTCTTGAAAAAGTGTTCTGACATCTGAATACCATCATGACCTATCAGATGTAATTGAGGCCTATTATGATTTGCGTCTTCAGATGTCACTGGGGCAAGTGTCCAGAGAATACGTGGGACTTTGCCACGGAGTTCTGCCGAGTCGAACGATTCGTGTGAAGATTTGGTGGCTCCAAGGGCTTCGTGAGGCCAGTGTAGTGCGCCGTGCAGGCCGCTCTGGTCGACCTGCTTTGACCAAGCTGGAGAGTTGGAACACAGAGAGTTCCGGAACGAACGGAGAGTTCGGCTTTCAGAGTTCCGCTTTCAAAACGACACTCCGATTTCAGAGTTCCGCTTTGAGCCTTGCAACGATCCAGATCACTACAGGAAGGCGCCATCAGATTCGGCTGCATACAGCTTACATTGGACATCCAACTGTCTCGGATGCCAAGTACACTAGTTTCAAGTCCTTCAAAGAAGATCTTCGATTCTGCCCAAGGAACTTTTTGCATCGCTTCCGTTTAGGCTTCAAGGACTCGGCGGTCGGATCAGATCGGCAAGCAATTCAGCCACTGCCAGCCGACCTTTTAAGCTCTTTAAGAACTTTGGAGTTTAACAAACGAATACTTTCAGATGATGCTGGAATATTTTCAGTGTGGACGAATTTAGACGCTTTTGATGCCTTTTTCAATGTCGAGAGCCGTGGCTGGGAAAAGGACGAGCTCATCACGAGTTTTTTCAATTGTGAATCATGATGCACTTCCCACTTGCACTGCAAGACTTGCTTCGAGTTGTGAATGCAGTTATATGTATATATATATACTGACTTGTATACCTGAAGTTTTACAAGCTTTTTGCTCACAGGTGAAGAGACCCGTAGAATCACCCCGTAGAATCGTAGAGACTGGAGCCATGATCAAGTTGCTCAACGTGCTTTGGCTCTCAGGAGGGATTCAGTTGCAGTTTGACGGTGCTTTTTCGAAAGCTCCGCTGAATCCATTTGTGGATTTGCTGAGTACTTTAGCTGCTTAGAAACACCCACACATTGAAATCATGCAAGGGGCAGCAAAGGTTCCAACTGCTCATGATTTTGGGTAATGTGGCTAGCTTGGTTTTGGCTAGATAGCTGAAAGCGGGTGCAAACGGGTTCCTACTGATAGAGGTGGTATCACCTAGCGACTTTGACGATCTTATCGCTCAGCTTCTCCCTTCCGGATCGAAAATTCAGACGGAGATTCTCTGATACAGTTGGCATCAGCGTTTCTCAGGCATCCGGTTAAGACGTGGGCAAAGCCAGGGTCCTCAGGTGCCAAACCTCCAGGGATTACGCTATTTGTATAGCTGAAAGCAATGGGGTTGCAAAAAGCATCTTAAAGATCCGAACTCCGATCCTCAACGTGGACTGCCAATTTTGTCCCCCCAATCATGTCGTCCTGCCTTTGGGATGTGGTTGTCAGCGGTGGCTGCCTCTTGCTGCTGGTGTGTATGACTGGCTGTTACTGCTACTGCTGACTGCTACTGTAGGCTGTTAGGCAGCATGTCTTCCAGGCTAAAAATATTTTGCAACATTTTTGTGGATGTCCATTTCACAGGTTCCTAAATAATTGGGAACCCCCGGGAACCCAAAGTATAAAAGAAGGCAGTGTTTCGCTCTTGGCTGGCGGGTTTGTCTTTCAAATGCAGCACGGTACCAAAGAACTTGTCATATTTTGTTTTCGTTTTTGGCCTTTGCAGGAGCAGCTGCCCTGGTGCCAACCCAAGTCCGTATCAAGCAACCATCAACATGTGCGACTGACACGTGCTCCTGTGCGGACCTGGAATCAATCAACATGGACACGGGTGCGATTCTCGTCTCCAATGACACTCAGATTCATGCAGTGAAGTATTGGCCAGAGCCAGTCGGATATCAAGAAGTCTTTGCCGACCGAAGTCGAGATCCATATAACCACAACTATCAGGACTCATGTCTTTCTGCAAACACATTGTTTCTGCAACAAGAATGTGCAAACACACTTTCCTTGGTTGCGTTGCGTCTGGAGCGCTTAGTTGAATTTTGTGCGTAAAGCTGCGTGCAGCTATACTGTACCAGACACAATGCCGCAGTGCAAGCAAAACCATGGAGCCATTGTTCGGTTATTGATCGCTGCGTGCAAATGCCAAATACACAATGCATAGCTGCTAGGTTGGAGGCCATCGCTACTAGGGGCAAGGACGCTACTAGGGGCTCCTGGCCTTACCACTAGGAGCATGGACGCTATAAGGTTAGAGGCCATCGCTAGTAGGGTGGAGGCGTCCTGCTTTGCTTTTAGACTTTCAGGACATACATTCAAGAGACCTGCCGGTGATCCGCAACGAACTTGGGGCAAACACTCTGCTTCTGGCACCTTGGAGCTTTAAGCATCGAAGCCACGCACAGTTCTTGGCCAAGGCAGCGGAGAACGAACTTCGAGTCATTCCTTCCTTTGATCTGACTTGGTATTGGAAAGATGGAGCATGGACCTTGCCTGCAACTCACAAAACTCTGGAGAAGGACTTCCACGACTTCCTTCAATATTCAGCAGCAGTTTCCGAAGAAAAGCTTTCTACACCCAATACCATTCTCATGTGGAACTTGGTTGGCTTGCCGTCTCCCAGTTCGTTACTCCCAGTTTCATGCGTTGCTGGAGCAAAGACTGACGTCTCGAACTTCCGCAACTGCATTTCATCAAATGGTGACCTGTTGGACACACTCGTGTCTGTGCAGACACTGCAGGAGATCCTTCAAACCATCCGAGAAACCCAGCAGAAGTTCCACTGTGAAGATGCACATCCTGGTTGTGATGCTCGTGATGATGTGTCAGCTTTCAAATTTGATAGACCTTTGGCATTGACCTTGGAGCTAGGACCGGAGTTCTTTCTCTCTGTACCAGCAATCGATGAGTATCTCCAAGCTCTTGTCTTTTGGCTTGAGCGAGTTTTGGGCTGCCATCCGATTGCAGTTGGGCAAGTACAAGTACCAACAACCTTGGAACCTTAAATGAACTTGAATGATTGGGTTCTTTTGGTGCATCTTTTTGAATTCAACAAGATAACCACTCAAATTCCAAGCCATGCGTGTTCGTGTTGATTGTTTTGGATGTTCATAAGCAACCTCTGATTCTTATTACTTGAGTCAGAGCCACCGAAACATGTACCTTGCAAATCTGTGCAAGAAACTATACAGCAACATACAACATATGACAGATGCATACTGCATACATATGCATGTTATACGGTGCAATGCCCAATGGACAATGTCTTAAGAATCTTCAGATTGTAGAATTGTCATGGCACTCTCAGGAGGAGATGGCGCAGTCCTGCAGCTTCAATGGCCATGGACGCTGGCCATGCTTAGCTGGTCATATTTACTTTTCTTTGCGAAATTTGTTTTTGAAGCAAACGATAACATTTAGGAAAAGTCATTTGCATTTGGAAAAGATATCTATCATTCAAACGTTGACGACGTGACATCTCTTGACTTTATCCACTTCAAGTCGAGGACTCTTCGACGCATGGGTTCTCAAGGTTCATGCAGTTGCTGATGATGTCGAAGCGCGAGCCATTCGTCGCATCAAAGAGCTCTTCGGCCAGCCCAAGCAAAGCACTTCGAATTCGGCTTCTGGCAGCATAGCTTTGTCTGAGGTCTCTGGAAGTGTCAAAGTGGTGATTTTTGAGTTTGGCTTTCCAGCTTACGTTCAGGGCTCCATTCAACCAGACAAGCAACACCGAGCTTTGTACGAAGTATGGTATGGTGGCAATAGCACTCCGTCGCAAGGTTTGAAGGATGCTCGCAATTCTGGCTTCTGTATTCAGGGCGCAATCATCGATGAGTGGCTGGACGTTTGGAGTGCGGATGAGGAATATGAGAATTGCAACGCGGAGCTGAAGTCGAAATTTGGCCATTCTAGCTGTGGCCCGATGACAGATGCAGGGATGTTGGCAGTGGCATACCAGGGCCTCGTTGGCCAGTTCCACACCTTTGGGCAACATTGTATCCAGAAGCGTTTTGAAACAGTGGATCCAGCAGCTCGATTTCGATTTGACCAGGCGCCTGCTGCTGACTACATTGCACCGTCCACTTGCTCTGCAGTTCTGATGAAGCGTGGAGTCACCTTGATCGTCTTCTACGTGGCTTGTAGTCTTTTTGTTCTAGTTGGGCTGAGCTCTTTGTGTTTGCTGGTGTGCAAAAGGACAAGGCCTTTAGGGCAAGATGGAAAGACTCCTCAAAACTGCTACAACTTGGAACAGCTCATGCAAAGCAGCTCTTCCCGCAAGATCCTGGAGGACATTTCTTCTATGCCATACGGGAAGCTTTTGGCAAGCAAGGTCGCAGAAGCTTTGGAAGACGGATTGGAGATTCCTATCCAATACAGTCATTTGAAGGGGTACTGTGGTTGGGGCATTGCCAAAGTGAACGGCTCATTCTCCTACCATCGTTTGCAGTACAACGGCCGCGGACGAGGTGCCTCTGCCGAGACATGGGAAACTTCTCAGGCCTTCATCCGTTGGCTCCAGGAGCAATTGTTCCTGTAGATGTTTCAACTTATCTAATGTCTTCCGGGTCAAACGCAGATACCATTATTTATGTTGAAACTTAATAAACTTGACAACAGGCTTTTGTGACCCAGAGCGTTGAAAGTGGGCATTACAAGTGATTGGCAAGAAACAGCAAAACGTGATGCCCCATGTTCCGGAAGCTGCCTCTTCCAAGTATCCCAAGAAAAGCTCCCAGATTCGGAGTTCACAACGATTCCCACTCACGACTCCTACCTTCCCAAGCTTGTGAGCAAACCGCGGGGTCAAGACAAGGCCAACATGCACAACACGCACATTCAGTTTTCTACATTGCAGGAGAGTTGTTTATGTTCAACAATATTTGCTCTTTAGGTTCGATTCAAATAACAAGATAAAGAACATAGTAGCATTATTGTGCCTAGTCGCTATTGGCCTTCGATGCCCTTTGTTCCTAGTAGCTTCTTGTTCCTAGTAGTAAGGCGAGGAGCCCCTAGTAGCGTCCTTTCTCCTAGTAGCGATGCCCTTTGTTACTAGTAGCTTCGACTTGTCCCAAGAGTCCCATTCCAAGAAACATCAATTCGTCTCATTTTCATCTTCGGTATTCGCTCGCACAGGTCCACGCTCGAGAATGCATGCGAATTGTCCAGCTCAAAACAATGCACCAAAAGACAACAACGTTGCATGCCGTGTGCTCATCATGCTAGATCCTGCAGGCTTGAATGCCCTGCGAACAAGAAAACCGCAACAATCATGGCTTTTCTTGAACTTGGCAACAAGCCACATCATGACAAGGTACACATTCCTCATGCCAGAATAATATCAGCCCAAAGTTTAAAGTGCGAAGGAAGATCGATTACGGGTACAACTCTAATCCATGCTGACCCCGCACTTATGTTTGCTCGTTTTAGAACCAAGGCTCCCAAGGATTGCGGGTTCGCAACAACTTCCCAAGTCTCTGGTACTGGAGCCCTCCAAAGCGCAACACGTGCTTTTCATCTGAGCAAACGACGAAATCAAGATATGTTGAAGCATTATTTTATCAAAGAACACCGTTAAAGTATCCATTTGAGCAAAAACGATTTGCACATGACATGCATTGAGAAATAAGCAGAGATTGCTCCAGGAACAATCAGATCGCTCAATGGCAGTCTATGGGTTTACAGATGCAGAGCTCAGGCGCACAGAGCTCATTGGGAACCGGACAGTTACCCGAAAACAACTCTTGGAAGCTTTAGATGCTGCTGGTAGCTTTCAAGATGCAGAGCACGTGACTGGAGAAGCTCAAACTACTGTGGAATTCCTTGGGATGAAAGTTGGCATTTCTGTGAGTCTCTCATTCACGGCCTGGCGCACAGATGTTTGCAGTGGAAAGGGTGGCTTTGCATTTCTGTCAGCTCTCAGTTTCTTTCTGTTTAGTTTTCTCTCATCGCTTTGCCCAGGCCAACCCACTATTTCTAAGCAGTGTGATCGAAGAAAGCTTGTTCACGTCGGGTGATGACAGCGACATGAAAGCATGGCTTAGCAGTACCGGAACGAGCATGAGGCCTGGGCTACAGAAAGAGAACACACCGAAACACATCGCTATATAATGCCATACACAGCTTCTGTCTTGCTTCTTCCTTTTTTTTCTTTATATATTACTGTTTATTCAGTAGACTTTTTAGACAATTCTTTTCTTTGTGTTTCCTTTCCAAACTTTCTTTGCACATTCTCCCAAGCACCAGTTTGTTGCTCCACAATAAGTACGCATCTATGCCAGGCACTTTCTGGCGCTTCTCGTCAACACCCACCTGCAAGTCCAGGCGGATCGTTTGAGGCCGCGAATCATTGGCAGGAGAGAAAGAGCAAGACACTTTAAAGAGTCAGGGAAGAAGCTCTTGTAAAGACAGAGCCAGAGGTCAGAAGTGCCTATCTAGTTTGCTCCGGCATGTTGGCTTGTTTATCCTTTGCTTTGTTCTTTCTTCTTCGTTCTTCACTTGATCTATTTGTGTTTTGCCAGGCGTCAAATGGAGCACGAAGTTGAAGCTGCAGCTGCTGAAGAGCAGCGACGTCAAGTTCCAGAGTTGGTGGATCAGGTTTCAATTCGCAGGCGCACACGTGATACATTGAACGCATTTTGATTTATGTAGAAAGTGCATTCTGCATGTGTAATACATCAAACTTCGAGCTTGAGCACCAGCCAAGACTTCGGAATGCTTGTGAACATATCAGGCGAGCTTGCTACAATATTTGGCACCGAGTCTTGGAAGGCTATCACGCTTGGGAAGCAATGCTTGGGCAGCGAACATCTCCTAAGTTTGAGGAGGCTGAGGTGGAGCGATATTTTGTCGAAGCCCTGATATCACGCCTGTCAGGGTCTATGGCTGAGCATTTGATTCACTCCCCTGAATCTCGTCAATAAATCCACTAAGCTCCTTTGTTCTGCTTTTCGTATTAATTTTGGAACTCAAACAATGCAGTACTTAGTTGACTTGTTTTGATTGAAATGTATTGTTCTGGCAAGGAATGGCTTTCGTGCGTTCACCGCAAAGTGATCCAGACCCTTGAAAAATCAGAGGATTCGTATGGCAACCAATCCTTTTCATGTCATATGGACTATGCGGACATTTGCTTGCCACTGGAAGTCTTCTGTCGCAACTCCAATATTTTTGCACCAAAGCAAGGCATCAACTTTGACGACATCAATGACTGCGGACTCTTGTCTCTCGAAGGACCCAAGCTACAGAGGGTGCAAAAGACATGGAGAGAGCCTGTCGGCCTTTGGGTTGCCTTCCATTTTGTAGTGAACTACAAATGGGTTTTGACCATTGCCCTGTGGCTCTTGTGGTGCGCAGTGCTTTTGCATGATAGCAAAGCATTTGAAGACTGGGTTGGCTTGAGCAGCCGAGAGCCAACCTTGACACGATTTACCGCATACAGCCTGGCTTTTATCGATTCCCTTTGGCTTTGTTTCTTGATGATTTGCGAAGTCTTTGTCAGTGATTCTCCCACACGGGCAAGCATTGGCCGAGTAAATTGCAATCGTTGCCTTCGCTTTCTTCGGGCTTGCAGAGTTTTCCCGACCCTCTTGCTGGCAGTTGCGTGGGCCTGGATTTCCTGGCCAGAAGTGGTTCTAGATGTGCTGGAAAGGTGCAATGTTGATGTTTCCCAGATCAATGTGTTGCCAAAAGACTTTGCAGCTACCATATGGTATGCTCCTGTGGTGTGGATTGCATTGCGCTTTGCGTATGGCATCACTCCTCGTTTCAAGGCCACCAATGCCTTCCAATTGCTTCATATGGCCTACTGGAAGAGGACTGAACTGTTGACAGCGCCGTTCCAACCATTTGTTTTTACTGGTGAATGAGAAACGAGCATAGACGAGGCAAAGGTTGTGCAAAGGTTGTGACTTTTGCCGAGCTTGACATAGTGCGAGGATTGCTTTGTTCTGGGCCACTTTTGGTGCCTTTTGCTTCTTGTGCAACTACTCCATGCTGGTTTCACTAGTGCGATCACTGACTCCTTACCAACTTTGCGCCGTGAATGACAACGATGAGGACTTTTGCAGCACATACACCGTGAAGATTCTTGACAATGACATTCTTGTGAAGGATGTGCGCTGTATAGCTTGCATGGCAACTGTCATTGTGGCCTGGACTTTGGTGATATTGAGCAGCCTGCTGATGATGTACTTCATCTTCAATGTCTACGTGGCCATTGTAGGGAGCTCTGTGGGTGCCGCTCGTGGTTTTGTGGAGACCAGCATTCCATCTCTCGAGTTCCGAGTGGAAACGGTGACTTCTGACTTTGGACAAATGAGAAAAGCAGAGGCAAATTGGATGACGCATGGTTCAATCCTCAATGATTCTTGGCAAGCTCAAGCTAATTGTTTTCTTAATCTTTCTTCCGTTCATGATTCATGTTTTGTTGTCTACTGTTTGATCTCAGTACGGTGGGTTAGAATTTTGAGCGTTTTCGTGAGCCCACTAAGCTGAATGCTGAGCTAAGTAAGCCAAGGCTGTCTTCGGCAAAGATTGGCAACGAGTCTGGGAGATGATGGTCGATGGCCTTTATGATGAGTGTTTGATCGATGGCAAAATGCGGAACAATCTGTTGACAGCTGCCAAGACAGGCGGATCTGTCAAACTGTCCGCAAAGGACACCCACATGCTCGATCGTGCCAGAGCGAGACTAGGCTACTTGTTTACTAGTCTGAGATGCATCCTGGGTGACAGCAATATCAATTTCAAGCCATATGTGCCAACTGCTGATGGATCGTGTGATGCCTTGGGAATCACTCACAAGGGATGGATTCCTTCCTTGACTCAGATTGTTCCAGTCTATAGTGAAGAGGGCATCATGGACATCAAAGAGCTTGTGGGAGAGCCTAAAGCGGGAGCAGTCTCAACGATGCTGGAGTTTTTGATCTCTCAGCTACCACAGGAATGGGAAATTTTTGCTCAGAATCAGGGCATGCACCCAACTGAACTCTATGAGGAGATTGTGCGAGGTGCATCAAAAGCACAACAGGATAAGGTTCGGGAGTGGGCCTCCCACCGGGCTCAAAGTGTGATTCGTACAGTCAATGGAGCAGTGCACTACCATAGAGCGTTGAAAGTCTTGCTAACAAGAGAAGAGTCCAAGGAATCCAAAGAAGCTAGAGCGATTGGTTTTGAGGACATTCGCCAGCATGCTCAGCTGATCATGGCTCATCAGACCTACGGCAAGCTCAGCTTGGGAAAGTCTCAACAAGTGAAGATTCAGCATGGTGTGATCACGTCGCCAGGACCTCATGGCCTTCGAGTGAATGATCGAGTGCGTTTGACCTTGGATTCTTTGAATGCAGAAGATGCTGTGGCCAAACGAGCAATCGACAAGATTTGGAAGAGTCGTGCCATGGCAAAGCTGAAACAAAGGGCCAAGACTCAACAAGAAGTTGACGCTATTCTCAGTGATGGAGTCCAAGTGCAAGCTCTTGTTGAAGCAGCCATGTCAGAGCCCATGGAAGCTGACATGCGTGACATGGTGGCAAAAGTTTCGACAGATCAAAGCAAAGGCAGCAGTGATGGATCTGGTAGCCAAGGCACGAGCTCCATGGCCAGACATCCGGCACTTTTAGGACGTTTGTGGGGCCAGGCTCAAGTCAAAGGCTTGCAAGGATTTCGCTCGGGCCGTTTCTACACCGTCCAGGAAGTTGTGGATGAAAGCACAGCCATTTTGACAGACACCTCAGTAAATTGCGGTACAGCGCGTTTGGAGAAGGCTGAACTTACAAAGCGTGAACATGATGTGCACTACATGCTGGCAAAGCATGGTGGTTGTCCATTCTTTGTTTGCATCGACTTTCAAAGAGGGAAAAGCCATCCACGACTTGAAGAGATGATTGATGCTCATGTCAAGGTCGGTTGCTCGGGCGGAGATCCAGAAACCTGGACAGACATCCGCTTCAAGCACGCAAGTGTTCTCATCAAACATCGCGATGCTGAGAGTGGTACAACTGATCAGTCCTGGCCAATCGAGATAGTACACGTCCTGCCACGTGCCCGTGGCCTTCTGATTGGTTCAGTCGGGAATTTGACACAGGGCAAGGCCGGAAATCAGCTTGGTGCACTTCGATTTGCGGAAGGGCATTTTGTTCAGATGATGGACGCAAACATGGGATGCTATTCAGGCGAAACCTTCAAGGTGCCAGTTGTGCTTCAGGGTTTCCATCGTTCGTCAATCACTGAGGGTGACTATGACCATCGGTTGAAGCTGCAAGCCCGCATCATCGGCTTCAGAGAGCACATTTTTACCAGGGAACATGGCCTCGTCGGTCAGATCATGGCGGACAGGGGTTCTTGATGGTTCCTGCGTTTTCTGGAAGTGGATCAAAATGGATCAAATATGATGGTTTCTTTTGGAGAGCCGATTGGGGTTCTGGAATACTGGTGGGATACAAACAGTTTCCCTCAAAATCTAGGAACCAATTGATTCGTGCGAGCGTGAGCTATCCCGCGTCCTGAGTAGTGGCTTACTTGTAGCTACTAGCTACCTCTCCCTACCAGCTAGCTACCTAGCTACCCCTAGCTACCTCGGCCGCTCTTCGCTCGCTCCGCTCTTCGCTCTTCGCAGGACGCGGAGTGGACCTTTGGCACCTTGGTGCAGCGGCTCTTGGAGTTCTTGACGGTTCGCATGCATTATGGACATCCGGATTTCATGGACGGTTTTTGGGCCGCCAACAGAGGTTCCGTCTCAAAGGCATCTCCTCATATCAACCTCTCAGAGGACATCTTTGCCGGCTTGAATGTGAAAACAAGACATGAACAATCCGTCCACACAGATTACTTAGAATGGGAGAAAGGCAGAGAGGTTCAGTTTCTTGCAGGCTCAGGCTTCTTTTGGAAGATTGCTAGTGGATCAGTGGGCTTGCTAAGAACAAGAGACTTGAGGGCCCTTTGTGGCAATGCATCTGTGATGGAGACCTTTGCTCTGTACTTTGCGACTGTGGCCTGGTACATCCACAACGTTGTGGTGGACATCAGTACTGAGGTCTTCCTTTTGATCTTCATTTACTTGACATTGGCGTCAAAATCCATTACAGACTTGGGTGAGCTAGGCTCGATGCTCGCAGCCGAATGGTTTCTAACTCCAGCCTTTAGTGCGATGCTGCCAGCCATTATAGGCCTTGGGATCGAGTATGGACCTTTCTGGATGTTCAAGAACTATCTTCTCACAGCTCCCATGTCGATGATTTACTTCATTTTTATCAACAAGGCTATGTCATCTTCAGTGAGAACTACGTTTCTTGCCAATACAGCAGAGTATGTGAATACAGGAAGACCTCATGCCAACAAGAGCTACACTTTGATGGATGCCTTCCTTGCTTATTGGAACTCGCACTATCGGCCAGCCTTGCAGATCCTCTATTGCATTGTTTTGTATCGAGCTTTGAACAACGACGGAGCTTTGCCCATGTTCTTGGTGTCCTTCACAGCGTTTGTCTGGATATTGGCACCCATCCTGTTCCAGCCACCAACGAAAGCTGTCTATGAGCAGGTCCGCGAATTGGTGAGTTTCATTGCGAAGTCTCCAAATATCAATGATCGTATAGCTTCCGGTAAGGCTAGTTCTCTGTACGAAGCTGCGCTTGAACAAGAGCTCAAGCAGGCCAATCGATCCTTGGCACTTCCAATGCTTTCCAGCATCTTGACTTGCATTTTGTACCTCTTCATGACCTCCTCCAACATTTTCGATCAAACCTGGGCACCACTCTGCGGAATGTTCATCCTCTTCCTCTTCAGATCCGTGGTTCGCTTTTCTGGAATCAAATCAGCTGGCATGATCGTGATTGCCATCCCCTGCCTCTCATTGTCTCTCGGCCGCTTTTCGTGTTCACATCATGTTGCGGAGAATCAAGAGTTTCTTCTGCTGGAATGCCAGGTTCGTGGTCTTTGTGTCTACATTCATTGTGGAGCCTTGGCTATTTCTTCGTTTGTTTGAGGATGAAATTGGATTGGCCGGGCTGTATTGGTATTTCAGTTTCTTTTCCTGTAAAGGGTTACTGCGGTGGTAGCAAAGGCTTCGGTGCGCGTTGAATCCACGCCTGCCAGCTCGCACAGTGACGTGTTCTGTTCGCGCTGAAGACCATCCGTCCCCAACACGTGCATCAGCTCTCTCTGGCCACTACAAAGTGCCCCACGTGTTTGTGTGCTGTGTTGTTGTTGTTGTTGCTGCTGCTGCTGCTGCTGGTGCTGTGGTCGTGGTCGTGGTCGTGGTCGTGGGTCGTGGTCGTGGTCGTCGTCGTCGTGGTGGTTGTTGTTGTTGTTGGTTGTTGTGGCGGCGGCGGCGGCGGCGTTTCTTGTGTCGGCGGCGGCGGGCGGCGGAAGAGGCGGCGACCGCTCAGCACAACAAAGCAGAAACCCACACATCAAAGTGAGAGTAAACATGCAGACAAAGCAACAATATGGAAACCGCCGCGAAGCCACCGCGCGTCGCCTTCCTTGCTAGCCACGCTGTCACCACAAACAGATTAGAGGAATGAATATTGGCCTCATCGAGAGCCTTGAACTCACTTCAGCGATCCTGCGTCAAAGGAGAAACAGCCAGTATCGAGCGAGGAGGAATCCACATGCCGCGTTGAACCAAACTCATTCAATGCAATATTCACAATGTGTAAACGCGGGGACACCATAAAACCTTCGCGCAGTGACATTCTTTCCTTCATTGCATAACTCAAATTGGCAGGACCAGGTTTTATTTGTTCGGACTGTTCCGGTACTGAAACAACTGAACAAAAACTTCACATCAATGAAGTCACCATCTCACCGTCCTGCTTCAACATTGCACGATAAAAATTGTGGACTGATTCTCCAGTTTCTAAACAAAATACCTCACACAGTCTACAGCAACGCTGACTCCAATCTTGCTGCATCCACTCTTTTTCGAAGCCATATCTATCCCCTCCTCACACTTGATTTACTTCCTTTGTGAGTCTTTTCATTGAGACGTCTGGTTGAGACGTCATTGAGCTTGTGAAGTCTTGTTTTTGAGACTGGTGTCCAACAAAGTCCCAGTCTTCACTTGGTCAAGTCTTGGTCGAGTCAGTGATGCAATCTCCACAGCACCTGAGCACCCTCCACTGGACTTCGGTGATGGTCGACAACCACCCTCACTCCGAGCTGGCTTGCAACATGGCATGATGTGTGAACAAAGAAAAAAGATAACAGAAGAAAAGAACATGAAAAAGGAAAGTCAGGCCAAGGGTGCCTTACCTTCCTTTCTTCATCTCTTGTTATTCTATTATTGTCTTACTTGCTTTGATCATCATCGACCCATGACGCGGAATCAAGTCATGCGAACAAACTAGCGCTGTCATCTCGACCTGTTGAATTCATGTCATGCTGGCGATCAGTGCCTCTCAAGAACCCTACAGCAATCTATCTCTCCAAGCCCAGCTACGTATTGACTGTTGAGGGGCATATGCTTCTCAGTGCATTCCTTCAGAGTACACACTTGCCACTTCAAACACACTATTCCGATTCCTAAAGAGGGTGCCGGGGGGGTAGGCGGCGAGAGTAGGCTTACTAGTAGTACGTAAAGGAGGTGAAACTACTAAGCTTAAGTACCTACTAATTAGGCTCCGGACGCAGGAAAGCTCAGGCTTCCTTGAAGTCCTCGCACTATTCAATTGGTTTGACTTTTGGGGAAACTTATATAACTATATAAGTAGCTACTCACGGGCCTCACGGGGTGTGACCAAGCACTTGCCTTCCTGCAACCTGGGCACCAAGACTTTCGTCTATTTTCAATGAATCCAAAGTAAGCAAAAGCAAACTATTTGTAGAACCGTGCTTTTACAACTTTAAAGATCGGTTCTCAATACCGGACAAACACTATGAGGAAAATCCTGACTTTGGCTCCCTGCTTGTGGCAACTATGATACTTATTCGGTTCCTGATCACCGCCAAGTTCCTGATTTGGTCCTTCTTCGCGTTTGTCTTGCCGAGAGGGAGCCCTCTCGGATACGAGCAAGTGGTCCGCTTCACCTTTGACTTTCTCTGCATCTACGAATGGCACTTCTTTGGGGCACCTTAAATCAATAAAGGAATGTACTCGATCAATGAGTCGGTTCAAATGGGAAGATAGCATCTGCAATTAACAGGAGCAAGAAGGAACTCAGATGCATTTGAGTTAGTTTGCTTCCTGGTATCCAAGGCACTTGTGGTGCTTGTGTTGCAGGCAATCTTTGCTAGCCTACTTTGGTTTCTTGGCTGTAGGTATTTGGTTTTCCGGCGTTTTGCCTAGTGCCATTGCTGGAGACAAACTACAAATGCACAGCAGGTCTAATTTGGTGTGCTTTCAGAAATCTTTCGGACATTTCAACGAAGGAGAGGCGGGAAAAGAATGTAAGAGCCCCTTCAATAGGCCCAAACACCTCTATTGTCTCTCTCCTTCTGCGAAGTCTTCTTCCAAGGTTGCTTGATCGACCACCTTTGCGACTGCGTACTGGGCTCCTCTTGAACAAGAGAGTCTCCAAAGGAGCGCAGTTATATGAAGCCGGTGCAAGCTTTGGACCTGTGATAGTTATTGATGTATTGCCCATCGCTATTAGGTTGGAGGCCATCGCCGTATTGCCTTGTTTCTTTGGCTCCAGGATGCGTGCGCAAAATCTTCGGTGCACCAGACCGTCTGACGCTAAGGGGGCAAGCCCACAGGAAGAATGCAGTCTTCTTTGAGCAACTTTTTACGTATCAATGACCTTTCAATTGGGACTTGGGACTATTTGGTTTTATAGAGATTGATACTTGTTCCCAGGTGAGGAGGAGGAGGAATGCCATACTGTGAAAGTATGCTGAAATGCGAATTCTGAATTGGTGACGTTGATAATGGGACGTCTAGAGATTTTGGGCATTCAGCCTCAGCTTGTCCTTTGCGAAGCTTTGGCTGTTTGCGTTTGTAAAGGTTGCATGCGGGCAAGTATATGGTTGGCGTTGTCTCCAAATTTGAAGACCATTTTGGATTCGACCCTGACTAAAAGCTGCAATTAGACACTGGGTCGTGACCTATAGTGCATGTACAGCTCGTCCGGACCAAGAATGCTATAGATACATGGCAGCTAGGCCTGATGCAACAAGAGGCACCATCCCAGCCGCCCAAGTGCTTCGTCGATTGTGAACGCGACTGCTTCGAAACGAGGCTGCGAAAGATTCAGATGTATCCGAATTGAATGAACAAACAGGTGAGCAGAGCACATGTCTACTTCGACACCTAAAAAGAAGTGTTGCTCGAGTTCTCTTTTTGCATCGTACAGGCTCAAGCAGAATGTTTTGGAAAAGGACGGTTTCCGCAAATGCTTCCTTTTTTCATGCGTTGTCCGCTTTGTTTGCCCTTTCCACTCTAGACCTGAAGTTGCTATGGAGGCCATGGAACAGTCGGGACAAATGCCAAAGTCCAAACTGCCTTGTCATATCAGATTCCTCCGTGTTTTTTTCCTGTTAAAGGCTTTTACCTCCTGTTTCCAAGCAGAGCAAACCTTACCATGTGGCATGTGGTTTGCAGATCTTGGAAAGGATGTTCTTTTTGCCTGTCTATGGTCCATACCTTCTACATTATTGCATCCCTTCTGTTTTGTTCCTTCCTTACCAATCTTTCCAGTGTTTCACATTCCTGTCATGGTGGTTCATGGCTGCATCCCTCTTTGTGTCATGCAGATGCTGGCTTTTTGGATTTGAGCAGAATTGCGCTGGTAAACTGGGGGTAAAACGACTGTTGCTGCGAGATCCCTTGCGTCGTTGTGAGTGGTTGCCTCTCATGTGCAAAAGACATCAGAATACAACACTTAATTACACAATCCATATACTCTTGCAACGTTTTTGCTCGATGCTTTCAGATCACTGGCCGTTTGTCTCGATGAGCGTTGCATGAGCGTTGCATGAGGAAGAGGAAATCACTCCAAGTGAACGGGGCACCGCGGGGTGCCGAACGTCCCGAACCCGTCGAAATGAGCAAAGACGAAGTGGCTGAGATGGAGTCGACGGTTCGGCGACTATAGGTGTGGGGCTGGATGTAACTGGTTTCGAGCTGGCGAATCGCTTGGCGGTGAAAAATACCGAGAACACAATCAAAGGGGCATCACACACAAACTTCTGAATGAGTGTCTTTGTTCAGCTCCCAACTCCACAAGGGTCCCACAAGCACAAGTTTGACAGGGCAAACAGCTCCAGGCTTGAAAGAGATGCTTGGAGAATGACTTCAACTATAAAGTCACGTGCTATTGGATCGTTCAATGAATCCATCGCATTGCTCAAGTCGATGAAGCTGAATATGGTGGAGTCCGACATTTATCATTGCAACAACATTCTCTCAAGCATGATTCGATCCTGTAAGCTTTCAGACTGGCATCAAAGTTTGCAATTGCTCTCTTCCTTTGCCTGCGATTCTTGTGCTGACACTGTGAGCTACAACTCTGCTATGCGTTGCCTTCCGTGGCGGACCAGCTTGGCACTCTTTACAGCTCTAAAGAAGAGTGCAGGATGTACCTTTTCAGATGCTGGCAATGTGGTGATCTCGTACAACAGCTTCATCTCTTCCTTCAAAGAATCGCAAGATGGATGGCAGCAATCGCAACATGTCTTGATGGAGATGCAATGGAACCAAGTCAAAATGGATCATTTCACCTTTATGGCTGCCTCAAAAAAGCGCTCGTTGGGCGGTCCCGCAAGCTGGCAGAAATCGTTTGAACTGACCTTGGATCTCTTGGCATGGAACTCAGTTTTGGGAGCACGAAGATCAGAAAGCACATGGCAAACTCCACTGCACTTGCTTCAGCTCATGTTCAGCTTGGGTCTTCTTCCAGATATTGTTTCGTATCACAGCTGCCTCCAGCAAGACATGTGGCAGCTCACGTTGTCGCTCATGAAATCTGCAGATCGAATGAGCCTGGACATCATCACGATGAACTCAGCCATGAGCTCACTGGGCTCCGGAGAATGGTTTCTAGCTCATACCCTTCTGGAAAGCACGAAGCATCGACGGCTTTTGCCGAATGCTTTGTCTCTCAATACATTCTTGCATTGCATGTCCAAGGGAAAGAGATGGCAAACGGCCATGAAACTCTTCCATGATGGTCTGGGCTTGAGACGTGATTCCTTCAGCCTCACGTCGGTTATCACTGGCATTGGATGGCAAAAGGGACTTGCTTTGCTCCAAGAAGTTGCGCTCTGTCAACAAATGAACTTAGAAGCTGCGATTCCTTCCAATGCGGCGCTCAATGCATGTGCCCAGGCTAGTGAGTGGCAAAAGGCTTTGCGACTCTTAGACCATGTTAGCTCTATTTGCCTAACACGCTTGGGCCGTGCTGATGATTCTGATGCCCATGCTCAAGCTCTTGTCAGCTTTGGCACGGCTATTAACACCTGTGGAAAAAACCTCCGATGGCAGCATGCTCTTTGGCTTTTATTTGCCCAGATGCCGCTAATGAGAGTTGAAAGAGATTTGGTTTGTTGCACGGCAGCGGTGAGTGCTTGTGAAAAAGGCAGCCAATGGAAACATGCCCTGTCCTTGCTGGCAGAAATGCCACCATCCCGGATATATCCAAGTCCAGTGACCTTGAACGCAGTGATCAGTGCTTGTGGAAAAGCCAGCCAATGGGCAGAAGCTTTGTTTGTCCTTAAGCTCAGCGGATCAGATGCAGATGTGGTGTCCTACAATGCTGCTACTTGTTTGCAACTGTACAGACAGTGTCAATAGGGATGAGGTCCCAGTATAGTTGCTATACAGGTACATGCCATATACTTTTGGCTCAAGTGCCCAACCAGGTAAAAAGGAGCTTTAGCGCGCGAGCTTCATGTTGAACTAAGGGCTAGAACGGGGCCAGGGCACACCTTTCCATCCGTTCGCAGGTTATCAGCCGTATCCAGACTCCTTTGAGCTGGGCACGAGCTACGGCCTTACACAACACCATCTAAACGCACAAGCATCGGATAGATCAGTTACCCTCAGTCACTGAAGATGGACCAATCCGACGCCAGCACTGCGTCCTTTGGAGCAGCTGCTGCGGCCGCAGATCGGATGAGTGCATCCCACAACTCTAGTCCAGGTACGATCGAAGCGGAGACTCTGACAGTGGTGAGAGAAGTTGCGACAGGTAGAGCACGAAGTCGTTCCCCGTCAGCGCACTCGACACCACCGGGGGGGGACACCGAGATCAGGCCGTAGCCCTAGGGAGACAAGGAGGAGAACTGACACCGGAGCTGTGAGAGTGCTAGCATTGGAGGATGGGTCAACTGTGCCAGTACCGTCGGACAGCGAAGCTGGAGATGGAGCGAGGGCAAGCAATGACAACCTACAACTAGCACGGGCCGATGGAGACCTCAATGCGAAGTGTGCACAACTACTTGCCGAAGTGCATATGTTGAACCACCAAAACGCATGGATGGTCGAATGTGAGCAGAGACAGAACCAGATTATACAACACGAGACCGAAGTCCACGAAGTAGTGATGGCACACCTCGAGGAATGTTACGTCGAAGGATATGGAAATCAACGAAGAATCTCCCAACTTACAGAATCCAGGGACTGTTTGCTCTCAGCAGCACACGATTTGCAATACCAGATTGACACTGATCGTGTGGCAATGCGGGATCGTCTCACCCAGTTAGGGGAGTACGCTGATCGCAACAGCGCAGAGATGGTTAGTCAAGTTGTGAACATCGGCACGGAAGAGATCCAGGCTATATCGGCGGAAAGAGATCGAGCCGTAACCGAGCTCATGACTGCAGTCGCAGATGCTGAGAACATTAGGGATCTGTATAGACAGGAGTTAGTTGGACTACAAAGGCAGAGTGCCAGGAACAAACACGAATATGCTGAAGAGATGAAGATGAGGGAAGCAATGTATACAAGCAAGATCAAATGGTTATCAGAAGAGAATGAGGAGCTCAACAACCGATCTAATAATCAGGACAATTTCATCATGGCCATCAGGGAGCAATTGAGGAGGGCGAACGAGGAGTTGACACAGGCGAGGATTCAAGGATCCGGTCGACCGTCTCAACCATCCAACGCCGAACTCAAGAAAGCCGAGGTCAAGGTGAACATGTTGGAAGAGGACATTCTACGTAAAGAGAGGATGCTGAAACGTCTTCAGGAAGAATTGATCGAATCAAGTGCAAGTGAAGCACAACTGAAGGTCGCACTGGAGTTGAAACCACCAGACATGGGATCAGAACCCAATGTGGAGAACGAGATGATGACCAAGCTTAGAGCGGAACTTGGACGTACCGAAAAGTCATTAAGGTCCGAGGAGAAAGAGGCAATGGAGTACTACGAAGGTATGATGCAGAACCAGCAGGACATGATGGAATTCGAAGCGCATGCAGCACGGCTCAGAGATGAGAGGAATAAGTACCGGAGGAGGTACGAAGAGGAGCGCTTGAATGCTGAGAATGCAGCCGCAACCGAACATGGTGCCGCCTCATCCTCTAGCTCGGGTGGCTCCAAGATATCTCGGAAGGAACGCGAGAAGATCAACATCCCTGCATGGCCCAAGATACACGACCTGGAGGTTTGGAAATCCCAGGTTGTAGCGGCAGTCGTGACGGCATCGGGCGACGAAAGACAAGAAGACTGGATCCAGTGGCTCTCGGATGCCTTCAGATCACCGTATGACCCATTTCTGCTCGAGACATCAGGCGAAGCAAGATTCGCTAGCGTAGACGCTAAGCTAGGTATCACCCTACATACGATCATCCACGCAGCAGGTGAGAGATCTCATGACGTACAACTGAAGGTGAGGCAGATGATGCAGAGACGTGCGAGAGGTACAACTCCTGGAATGGTCAAGGGACGAGAAATGTTAGCGTTGATCGTCGATAGCTTCCGGAGTGCCGACAACGTCGATGTGATGTATGCATCCAAGCACTTATTCGATCTAAAGTTCCCTGGGGATAATCAACTATCCAGATTCCTTGGACAGTGGGATGAGATCATATCAGGTATGGATGCGGATGATATGCTTCCTGACAAAGCACTTCGCAACCTGCTTTGGGATAAGATTAAGGATTCCAAGGTCATGGCGTTAGACTTGTCTGTGTACGATAACATGTTGGATAAGGACCCGGATAAGACCTACCAGAAGTTACGAGAGATCATGGCGAAGTGGATACGGAAATCAATCGAGACCACAAACAAGAAAGAAAGGGAAAAAGCCTTTGGGAACCTCGTGAAAGCCACACCAGCGGCAGAGAAGAAGGACCCTAAGGCGAAACCCAAGAATACCAAGGCCGATCCACCGAAGGACGCCGCTCCGGTACTTCCTCAGGCTAATCCGAAGGACCGCAACAAGAAGGACAAGAAGCAGGATCGTGGAAGATCAACCACGAAGAGCCCAAAGGGGGATCGTGGCAGGTCAGCGACTCCAGCAGATACATCCAAGATAGGATGCGCCTTCCACTTCCATGGGAAAAACGGATGCTCTAGAGGAGACAAATGCAAGTTTAGTCACCAAGAGAAGCACAAAAGTTCTGCTAAGAAACCAGAAAGCCTCAAGGGTGACAGATCAAAGAGTCCTGGTGGCAGGAGCACTAGCCCTAAACCAATGAAGGATCAGGTCTGTTGGAATTGGCAGAAAGGATCGTGCAAGTTCGGGGACAAATGTCGACGTCAGCATCACGCTGCTCCTGCTACAAAACAAGAGGCTAAAGGCAAAGCCAAGCCCAAACCGGCTGCGCCAGCCTTCATGCTTTGCGGAGACATCGAGAGTGACGGCGAGGACGTGCGACCCGCACTTCCCAACGTACAACAAGGTAAGCTGGCGCTTCGCTTTAAAGTCAGATTCGATGACCGGGCGAATGTGACCACGTTTACCTGCGATCCTGGTAATGAGCTAAATACCCGTCCCCTCAGGAAGAAGAAGGATGAGGTGCAGAAGGTGGATACCGAGCTCATTTCATCACTAAGAGCCCTCAGAGTGAACAATATAGCTGCACGAGTAGCACATGCCAAAGGTAAGATGATGGAGCTATATTCTGCTGAACACATTGCCAAGGCATGGATACAAATCACTCAAGATGAAGGAATCGAGGTGAACGTCGACCTGTCTGACTTCAACACCAGCGAGGTAGTAAGGAAGGACTCTGTCAACTACACGATACCGGGAGACACGATGTTCATGGCTGTGGAGAGGTATGATGGACCACCAATACGCTTCATCATGGACACGGGATGTGGACACGACTTGATCTCAAGAGAGAAAGTCAACGCCATGGGCCTTACCACCAAGGAAGGACCCAAATCCGTGAGCTTCATGACAGCGAATGGTGTAACTAGTACATCAGAGATGGTGGACATCAATGTGGACGAACTACCCATGATGTCCGAGGCACACGTGTTGGAGAGCACACCATCAGTCTTCTCCATCGGGAAACGGTGCATGGAACAAGGGTATTCATTCATATGGCCGGCAAATCAGTTGCCATACCTCATCGACCAGAACGCGAACAAGATTCCGCTATCGGTGCATGACAACATACCCTACATCAAGGTGAATGATGATGACGGGAGATGTTTACCAAGACCAGACGGCTTGGCTACGATACTTCATCGCATGCTGTCAGGTGTGGGGCGTGAAGACGAGGCCACAGCAGGTCAGGAGACACAACAAGAGGAACCTCCGCCCAAGAAACCACGGAGACGGAGGAGAAAGAAGAAAGATAACCAGAGAGATCGGGATGGCGAATCTGATATCAATCCAGCTGTTGCAGGCGTCGAAGGAGAACCAGAGGAACACGGTGATGATAGGTATTCTCCTGAAGAGGAATATGACGGAGAAGACCCGAGAATCGATCGTGATCACGATGGTCAACCTGAAGAAACCGAAGACGACGAACATGGAGGTGATGCGGATTCAGAACGAGAGGAGAGTGACATTGGTGAAGATGAAGAGGGACTATTGGAAGTCGATGTGGTTGACGGGGAAGCCAGACTATCAAAACCAGGAGCGCTGAAGAATGAGGCGAAATCCATATCGCACCTGATGACGCACCGATACAAGAACCCATACTGCAAGTCATGTGTGAGAGCAAAGATGAAGCACTACAAGACTAGCAAGGGAGCTTTCAAACGGAAATTGAAGGCATTTGGTGACCTTATCACCTTTGATCTCATGAACACCCAGAAGATGGCGAGAGATGGGATCATGCCGGATAAGGATGTATTGGTGATTCGAGATCGGTTCACTGGTGTGATATGGGGCTATCCTTTAAAGGCAAGCAATAGTGACGAAGTGGTACAGGCGATGAAGCACTATATCGGTAAGAGAAAGGTCACCAACGCCTACTCGGATGACGCGCCACAATTTGAAGCAGCACTCAAGGAACTCCGGATTCCACTAGACCAGTCGCTTCCAGGACATCCCCAGAACAATTCACTCGCCGAAAGAAACAATCAGTTCATGATGCTTACCACATCGACATGCCTACTAGAAGCCGGACTACCACCATGTTTTTGGCCATTTGCAGTGGAGTGCGTAAGCCATCTGTTGAACATCGAGAAGCTGAGCGATGGCAGCAGTGCATGGTTGAAGTTGCACAAGAGCGAATTCCCAGGCATGGTGATACCACTCGGGGCGAAGGTGTTCTTCAAACCTAGTGATGCGAGAGAAAGAGACCAAGATCACAAGTTCGACCCCAAGAGCATACCTGGCATCTTCGCAG